GGCCGTGGGGGGGTCACCGACAGGCGTGGGGTGGGAGAGGGGTCCGGCAGCTCCGGGGAGGCAGCAGGCAGGGCTGGCAGCCCCTACCTCGGGGACATGCTGGAGCATCTTGGGGACACGCTGGAGCATGTCGGGGACACGCTGGACCCAGCGCCGGTTTAAGGGTGGCGATGCAATCTGGAGTTAAGATCATTAATCACTCCTCTTTCTGGTAGCGCGGAATATGCCCTTATTAATCACCGATGCCAGGGCCCCCCTGTGCCTCCACCCCCCGCTCCAGCCTGGCTGCCTTCGCTTCCCCAAAATACACGTTTGCCCTTTACAAACTAAAGCATGTTAAGTATCTCATTACAGAGTCACTATACAGAGTGTTTTATTTCATGCTTTGTTAAGGACAGAATCGTTTAAATGCATCCTGGCAAAGGATCTAATAAGAAATTAGTCAACTTTCTGAAAGCATAAAATATGGTTTAACGGCAACATCCGTTAAGAATTAGAGTTCACATGACAAATAACCCGGGGATGCTGTTTTGCTGTTTCTGGTAACACGCTGGCTTTAAGGACTCAGGTTGCTGTAGGAACATCCCGACTGCCCCACTGTGAGCCGGTGTCCCACCATGTCCCACCATGTCCCACCAGCCAGCGAGTCCCCTCCTCTCCCCTCACCTCCCGGGGCTGTGCCGCCTCCTTCTTGTCTGACAGCCCCATCTTCTCCCGTAATGGAGAAACCGTTTTGCCGCAGAGCGCTAAAACCAACGAGCTGAGCCACGGCCAGACCAGCGGCAGGGGGAGAGCAGGGCTGGGAGAGGAAGCCTAAAGCACACGAGAGCCCTACAAAACTTGTCAGGGAAGGAGAGGTGATGCCGGCAGTGCTTTGGGGACCAGTTTCCCCCCATCACCCCATGGCAGGATGCCCACAGCCCCATGGCAGGATGCTCACAGAGGTCAGGCTCAGCCCGGGGGTGGGATGGAGAGGGAAGCAGAGACGCTCAGAGAGGAGCGGAGGGTGCGGGGACGCCCAGGCTGCCCCACCAGCGGCATGCGCGGGGGCACCGAGGCACCCAGCCTCCCCAGGGGCAACTGGGGGAGATTATTCAGAGCTGACACAAGTCGGCGGTTGCAAACGACATGTGTGAAATGTCTCCTAATGTGCTAAGGGAATCGGCTAATGAATTTGCTGAACCACTGCTAATTAAAGAATTAATTTTTTAAGTCGCGGGAAATATAACGGAAGAGGCCAGGAAGCCTTCGGTAGCCAGGACGGGCTTGCCGGCCGCTGGGTCCGTGGCTTGGCCGGCTGTCAGTGGCTCGGGGTGGGCACGGGCACGGCCACGGCTGTCCCAGGGAGCCGGGGCGAAGGAGCAGCCCCGGCGGCAGCAGCGCAGGCACGGGCTCTGCGGGGCTGAGGAGCAGGAGCAGCGCGGGGACTGCGCCGGCACAGCCCAGCCAGAGGAGAGGTGACCCTGCCTGCGGCCGAGGCGAAGGCTCCTGCACTCCTGCAGCGCGCTCACTGCACACACCCGGACAAGAATACATCTCCGGCCTCGGACAAGCAAATTTGGGAAACTCCATCCTTCAGGCTAACTCTCCCAGCTTTTGCCTTTTGCTGTTGTGTTACCGTATCTTCAGTTCTTGCCAGAAACCCCTTTGATTCTCCAGAAGATGGAGCGAAGTCAACTTCCAGCAGGATGCTTGTTTCCCTCTGCACAGGCTGCCTGTGCCCTGAAGGCACCGGCGCCCGGTTAATGGCCGGGGACATCCCCGGTCCCACGGTGCGGTGCGTTCCCCGGGGGTGACACTGCCTTTGCTGCAGAGCGACCATTTGGAGCAGTGACCGCTGCTCATCCCTGCACAAGCTGCAGCGAGAAGAATGACTGCTTGGTTATAAAGGGAGCTGGCAGGGACCAACTGGGCATTCAAGACCAGACTCCGCCACCCCATTGCCGCTGTGGGTCCCTTTTCTCCATGGCACCTGTGGAGGTGACAGTGCCGGGGTCCCTGCTCCATCCGGGTGGGCACTCGCACCTTACAGTGCGTGAGCCCGAGTCCTGTAAAGCCCCTGACGCCGCACATCTAAATAACGCAGGGACTGAGCGTTACGCATGCGAGTCATCTCCGAGCGAGCGCGCACCTCTGCAGAAAGCAGAGCGGGTACCCGAGCGTTTCCAGGATCAGCACTTAAATGCGTAATGAGAGGCAACAGCTGGATGGCACAAACACGCTGGGGGAGCCGCAGCACGGCCGGGGATCATGAGCGGCATGACAAGCAGCCACGCTCTGCGGCGTCACCGCCGAGGCGGCTTTAAGGTCCCCTACAACTTTCTTCTCCATCAGGAGTCCTCCCGGGCAGGGCAGGGGGGAGCGCGGCTGATGGCGGCCGCACTCCTGTGCCCACACGGGGCGGCAGGAGCACGGGCTCCCCCAGCCTGGGCAGCGCCGCGGAGCAAAGCCAGACGAGCTCGTCGATGCTCGCCCGCATCCCCATCCTCTGCCCAGCTCTGCCCCGGCGCCCACGCAATTAGCTGCAATGAGATTACCATTCTGCGCTTGGGGCTGAGGCGCTGCAGCAGCCCGTGCCAGCGGAACCCTTGCGAACACGCTGCTGTGCCGCAGCGGTGCTGCTCGGGATGCACCACGGTGTGCCCGGCACGGCGCTCACCGGCTGTGCGGCAGCAAAACTAATGCTAAAGGCGGCAGAAGCAGAAGTTTAAAGGCATTAAAATCGCGGGGTGATGTAAACAGCGGTTGGACTCCAGAGGAACTGCACTCCCCCGCAGCAATCACTCAGCAGTGTCCCCGTGTTTCACGTTTCACGTCCAAAAGCTCCTTTCTTCCTTTTCATTCCGGTCCTACAGTAATTAGTAGAATCTGACATGCAAAAAAAAAAAAATCAAGTTAAACGTAACGTTAAGCGTTGTGCTTTTGTTTAAAGTATGTGTAACGCTAATGGTAAGGCAGTGCCCAGGGTGAGCCAGGGGTTTATCGTGCTTTGCTGGAGTCTGCTTGGGAAAGAAACCCTTTCCGGCCACCCCAGTTGCCTGTCCCACGGAGACCTGGCACTGCGGCAGGCACGCATCCCAGCCGCCCCCGTGGCCATGTCACCGCAGCCGGGATCGCTTTTTGGAGCAGGTCGGTGCCTTCGTTTGCAGTCACGGAGGAGAGCACGTGCCCCGGCAGCCCCGGGGCCAGCAGTGGGGCCGGGGGCTTGCAGCCCCCCCCCCATGCCTGGCCATGCCGAGGGCAGGGACCCCATGTTTTGGGGGCTCTGAAACCTGGTGGGGGAGCTGAGGGGGCTGGAATTACGGTCTTTAAGTACTGCGCATTAAGCGCCTTCCCTGGCAACTGCAGTTTCCATGGAAAACGTCGACTCTGCCTCTCGCAGCTCTCTGCAGCGTTTGGCAGAGCCGCGACGCTGCTCCCGGCTTATTTCACGCCGCGGACCGCAGCCCAATCAGACGCATTAGTGGTGAATAAATCTGTGTTTCGTGCAATTAAACTCCCCGGCCGGAGCGGTGGCGGTGCGGCTTTGATTACTCTTTTCCTTCCCGCGCGTCCCTTTGCCCGGCACAAAGGGCGAGCGGCAGCACGAGGAGAGACTTCGCAGCGGCGGCGGCGTTGTGCCGCGGGAGGCCGGAGGAAGCGGGTTAATCGGCGGCTGTTCCCCGCCGGGCAGCAGCGTGGGGAAGACAATGGGAAAGAGCCACAGCCTAATCAGGCGCTTTGAAATAGCCGTATTTGCTGATGACAATTGCAAAAATAAAGGCTTTTTGCAGAGAGCGAGCCAGAGCAACAAACTCGGCAGGAGGGGGTGAACCTCCCTGAACAAGTGACCTCAGATAAAGAGACCAAATAGCGGCTCCGAAACGGCGCGATAAGGCCACCGAGTTTCAGCAGAAACCCAACTTTCAGGGAGTCGGTGCGGGCTCATTATTGCTCTCCCGTAATGAGCCCGTTTGGGAGAGCGGCAGGCGATCAATCAGCCGCAGCTCCCCGGGGGGCTGATTCCGTGCCACCAGCGCAGCTATGATTTCATGCCCAGAATTGCCCAAGTCCCACTTTTCTCCATTTTTTTTTTAATTTTTTGCAGACAACGGATCAGGGGCGGCGCTCG